TGAACCGCGACTCGAGCTGTTAAAGCTCAAGACTCGAGGCTCATTTTAACAACACTATTCCCAATCACGATGATTTTTCACAGTGATTTCTCGTGATCGTTTCTGATTGGTGGAAAAATTCGAGTTATATCGTATAAAGTGAAGGAATAATGAATGAATTAATGATTATAAATTATAATCTAGATGTTACCTGACAAATCATTCTTTTAGAATTTCTTGTTTTTTCTACTGATTTTTACAAACAGAAATAGTAATGTAATTCATCGTAAAATCATATTGAATACGTTTTTCTGTTTAAAGAACAAGGACTTACGATCGCAGTGAGAAAATTCACTCAAGATAAAAAAATCGCAATAACGATTGTAAATGAAGTTAAATCACGATCGTGACCGTGATTCGGTGATCACTGTGATATATCACCGTTAGTGATTTTGCACGCCATCTCTAATCTCTACTAGTGAGCATTCTCATCTGTCATGTCCTTTCTGTTATTATAAATGTATTTATGTTAATAGTAATCGGATTTAATAGAATAGAATGTATTTTTTCCGTGTAAATATTGATATAAACAACGTGACCCCTTGTTAAAAAAGACAAACTTTGCTCTCATGTGTTCTGGGCGGATCTCCGTGTTAGAAATCAATGTTTGTGACGTAAATGAATACCAACGAATGTTTAATCATATTTTACACCCATGAATAGTTTGAGGTTAAATCAGATTGAAAGAATGACAGCTGATCCGTCAACGGTGCCACTTGTTGCTCTGTCCGTTGAGTCCAAGCAAGTTGTTTCGGCATTATTAAATCCTCCAAAAGTTATTCCATCTGAAAATGGCTTGCCTAGGTAATTAATTAATAAATTGAGTAAGGGTTTCCACTTTTTTTATACTTGATATAAATTTTATGTGTGTTTTAAACTAAATGTTACCCTTCAACAGATCTGATTTTAAAATTTGGACTATATGTTTCTACAATTTGACATAGTGTGCATATTTAATACATTACACATATTTATTGACATTAACATAGTTAATGTATTATCAATTTATGCAAATGTTTAAATATTTAGGGATTGGAGAGGTTTTGCACATTTATCCAACTTGAGTGGAGAGTTAATGCCATTATTAATATCGCAACCAGATCCATCAGCATATATTTTAACATTTTGGGAACAAAAACAAAAAAATGCTACAATTAAAGATTTCCAAGTAATATTAGAAGAACTTGATAGGTGGGATATATTGGATGATACTGTAGAACTTTTTGGTATGTACTTACAATATGGTCTTTTAAAAAGCTATTTGTAATTATCCTTTAAGTATATATTTATATTGTAGAAAGAGATTCTCAGACATATTTGTCACAGTTAGAAAGATCTCAGACATCAGCCAATGTGATTGCCAATGAAGTTGATGAAAAAATATTAACTGTAGGTAAGTAATCCTTAAAACATAGAAATATATTATCAAATAACATTTTCTTTATTTAATAGATGACCTTCACAGACTAAAACAAGGATTTGAAAATCAATATTATGATGCATTTTTATTATATGCAGATGAAGATGTTAATTTTGCTATTGAAATGGTGGATAAGCTGGAGAACCAGTATAACTTAAAGGTAAAGGAACAAAATGGATGACAACGATAATAAGAAACTATAAATGGGACTGTCATCTTTCAGCTCTGTTTAAAAGATAGAGATTTAATTGGAGGAATAACGTTTGAGCATGAAGCTGTGATGACATTGATATCAGAAAGGTGTAACAGGTTAATTGTTATAATCTCATCCAATTTTCTGAAAAGTTCAGCAAATAAATTTTTTTTGAACTATGCCCAAGCTTTGGGTATTGGTACGTTTTCCTGATGCTTTAATACCACTATATTATAATCTTAATTTTGTGTTGTAACATTTACTTATTTAACATTTAATTATTAATTACAGAAAAACGACAAAGGAAAGTAATACCATGCCTCTACGAGAAATGTCAGTTACCATCACAGTTGAATTACATGTTTATATTAGATTATAATAGAGTAGGTTTGTACGATTTTTGGGGAAAGCTGAGAGATTCTGTTTGCACACTAAGTCGAACAGAGAATAACACAAATGGAAACTCTGATAGACAAGCAGTACATTTTGAGAAGGAGAAAGAATACAACAAATTAGAAAAAAATGAAACAGTAAATATACAGGACAGAAAACTTTTGGAACCACTGCAAGACCCAAATAACCATATAGGAAATGGGAAGGACAAGTTGAAAACGGAAGAGAGTTTACAGAGTCCAGAAGATAATTTAAACAATCATAAAGATAACAATAAGAAGTATAATAATTTCCTACAATGGACAATGAGGAAATGGACTCGAAAATCGGAGAATGATAAAAAGAAATACATACCGATTACAGAATCAGTAAGTTTACCATCCCTTGAAGGCCTGGATACATTGACTATTGCGACAGACTCTGTAGAAAAGAAGCACAAAACGAAGTTCATAAATAAATACATGAAGAGAGTACTTGTAAAATAATATTCTGTTATACAAAAAACTGTTTACCTGTTAATATTTTATATGTTTTTATAACAATATGTAGGGACGCCAAGTTATTAATTGTTAATAAATCGTATTTACAACTATTCGTATACAGCAGTAAAGTAAAAAATTGATAAAAAGGAATAATGGAACAAAATAGGTGAAGCAAACGATCGATTGAATAGATCTCCTGCAGAGGGCACTATAATACAGTTATGTACACTAAAAACCAAATAAGACCATAACTACTTCGCGCAGCTGGGATGAGCACCAGAGGTCTCTCTGTAACATGGGCGATAGAATTTGTCATACACCGGGTGACATAATGAAGTATTTCTCAATCTATGAATACTTATAAATTGGCACGTTTGTACTTCCAAGTCACTCGATGTATGATGTTACACGAGGCATAATGATGCTCAATTAATTGTTTAAGACGTTGGTAACTAAGATAACCGAGAGAAATATGCGCAAACAAGACTGAAATTTGTCATTTCGCAGTTTGTAGTTGAGTTTGCGCGACGTTTCATGTTTTCGCGCTTTGATTCGTACTGATTTTAATCATAATTTTGTCCACTGTTCTGACTTAATCTTATATACTACTAAAGTTTAGTATGTTAAAAGCAGAAAAGACATTAAGAATGAGTATGAAATTTCAGTGAGCTCCGATAAAACGAAAATGGTACGACGGAAAGGTGAAGCAAGGTTAGTTGACGGTTCTCTTCTTTCCGTTTATAGTTAGTCATATATTTAATGCTTTTATGTATCAAATAATAGCGTTGTTAGTAAAAAGGTATATGTAGCATAATTTACACTAACTTTCATTAATTTAATTCATTAAAATAAGATAATACAAATTTGAAATTTTCTTTGTTTGGAAAGATCCATTTCGAACTGTATATAACGAAGGCAGTGGAGTATGCTACAACAAACTAATTGGTTCTAAAACCTCGTTGATTGTAGCATTTACATACATTAAAATATTGTATGTAATTTCACAAACTATAACAAAATATGGCAACTGATTCTGTAATACTATTCTCGACTGTTACCAATAGATTCATGTCATCAGTGGTTTCTTTACCATGGTAACGAAATCGGACTGGGACAATCGGCAGAATACGTTCGTTCTAGCATACCCGACTGTATGTTTATCATAATTTAAACAGAAAGTATTATTTTAGATCAAGCAGAAGTCGAACCTCACGTGAAACACCCAGTGTAAGTCACATGTATTGTGCTGTATTTCAGTATTTATGCGATATTACTAATGCTATTTTTATTAATACATCATTTTGTACACACGTGTTTTGTTTTAGAAAAGCAAAATCATATACAGAAGGCGACATGTTTTACAAGACATCAAGTACTTGAGGAAAACTGTACAGTTACTTATACCAAAATCTGTTTTTATGCGTGTAATTAGACAGATTATTTCGGACCTGTTTCCTAATTCAGGTGTTGTTAGGTAAAATTTTAAATACTAAGTATTGTAATTGTTTCTTCAATGAACACATATTTCTGTTTAGAATACAGGCAAGTGCATTGGAAGCGTTGCAAGAGGCAACAGAAGCATACATTGTGCAGTTCTTTGAAGATTGCACACTATTATCAATGCACGCCAAACGAATAACTTTACAAGTCCATGATATGAGGCTTCTACGACGCCTCAGGGGAAGAAGTGACATTGTCAACAAATAAAATATTTTTATACCTATCTTGACAATGCAGAAATTTAACATATTTTATAGTCCTTGACTGTGACATGTCATGTTGCTTACTTTGATGTTATTGTTGTGTAAGATATGTGCTATCAAGGCTGCAGTATCAATGATATTTTTTAAATATAAATAATGATAACTGTATTGGAGTTGTATGGCTCAATAAGTAAGTAATAAATTATTTTCTATCTTCACTCGTTTAGGATATATTAACCGGACTCACTGTGCATTTCCGCTACAATCGTAGCTTCCAACCACTTCCCACTCAGCTGTAACGATAGTTGACATCGAAAAATAGTTGGCGCCGAATATTACATAGTACTTCTTAACAATTTATATCTTAAAAAATGGCTCCCAATTTGTTCCCACGGAATCTACAATTGCTCCCGTCGCACCGTTTATATTTAATGAGATATTAATAACACATAGTCATTGTTTAATAAATTGTTAATAATAGAGTCTTTATGATATAAGTGTCTTTTAAAAACAGTAGACACTAAGAAGAAACTGACAAAATTATGTACGAGACTTCATCCTTGGTCAGCGTTGTTATTGGCACATCTTAATGACTCTGTATGAGTTGATTTAGTATTTATTGCAGGACATATTAATTGAAGCATTTGAGGGTATACCTATGACGAGATAAAAAGTAGTGATTAGACATAGGGTAGTATTTAACACAAATATGCTTGTACAGATGTTGTCTAAGCTTCGGAAAAAATTAAAGCATGTACAACATAATCTTTTAAAATTTAAATAGTAACATACCATAGATTATGCCATAGTTTGCTAAATAAAATTTATTTCATGGGAAACATTTAAACTTCTGATAAAATTCTTAGACTTTACTTTACGAAACTTTGGTAAAATATACATTTCTTGATTCATAGGCAGGATCTTAAAACAGTACAATGTCGAAGCTTCGTAAGGTTCACTTCGCGCGGCGTTTGTTCGAACTTGCTACGTACGTAAGATAATCAATGTCGGTTAAACAATGATGAAAAGGCATATTAAACGATAAGGTAGCGTAACCAATTATGTATTACGTTAAGAATTTTTGTTACTATTGCGTTAGCTGCCTTCACTCACGGCGTACATCGCAAGCGGAACATTACGTTTGACGTACTAAACCGACTGTACTCGAATCCACGAGTTTTAAGCGGTCTTGGACAATTAGGGATCTCTGTCCCTTCTTTTTCTCAACTATTGTTTGTTGTATATAACATCACGCAATTTATACGTGTCACAGACGTGATTCTGACTGATCAAAACTCTTGAATACGAGTATAAAAAATAGTATTACAAATAACAATGCTATCTATCTACACGTTTATGTAATTATAATACAATTAGAATAAGAAGACACTTTGTAATAGGCACAACATCAGTTACACTTTCATGCTGCCTGTCATCATATAGAAGAAAATAATCATTCGTAACTCTACCATGGCGCTTAGTCTTTTATACAAACATCATGTATACTCACGTGCATGATTCTAACACCTTTCTGTATATCTTAAATATATACATTCATTAGATCATATTGAAATAAAAAAAAAAAGAAGAAAGGAATTGTTCGCGTGTATAGAAGAAAGGGAATACTGTCTGTACATTTCGAAAACAATTCTTCTATTACAAATAGAAAAAAGAAGTATGGCAGGCGAATATATACTATATATATACCGATTTTTGGGGCTTTTTGGGACCACGATGTCCGAGTAATTAATATCGACATGCTACAATTAACCTTGTAAAATTAAATAATAGTCTCTATCACCGTAACCGGGAAGTCGCGTATCACTTCCTCATGAAAGACCGCACTTTATTCACGCATTTGTCCATAAAGTTCTTCTTACGTTTCGGTTCAACCCCAGTGGGTAGGGACAGAAGCGAGCCCTGCTCCTTCGTCTTAGGCTTGTAATCGTTAGACGAAATGCTCTCGTCGGAATCAAGTCCCGCACCACAGCTCCTCGTCTTAAGCAGCGTCGACTTATCGTTTCCCGTGGCCACTAATCGCTCCTTCAACATCGCGTTACCATCGTAAGGATCAACATTCTCCGAGCTAGTTTGGGAATCCTCTTTTTCATCCTCATCGTTTGAAGTCAAGAGGTGTCCATCCACGCTGATGAACCGATTCGGTTTTGGCGGTCGCGTGGGTGGATTATTCTCCTCCCTGTCACTGAGATCCTCCAAGATTGATTTTCTTGTTTCTTTCGCCTCTACAGCAGGTGTCTTCGTTCGCTGTCTAGGAACCGGCGTTGGATTTTCGTTCGATATCATTTCAGAACTGGCCTCTACGCTTTTAGCTTCAGAATAAATTTCACCACCGACTGGTCCACCCTCAACCTTGTTCCCTAAATCTTCTGGTTTACGTTGAATAGATTCTTCTATTCTTGGGACAGGCAATCTATCTAGAGTTTCGAGGGGTTCAATGGTGGTTTCACTTTCGTTCTGTATAGATGACTCGTCAGTCTTCATGTCTGGTATCATACCATCTTCGTCTAGTAAGCCGTCCAAGCTTCTGGACCTTGGTCTTGATTGTGGCTCGGGCCCCCTGATAGGGGAGACTGACTTCTTCTCATCTTGGTCCAACAGTTCCAACGAACGAGATCTAGTGGATGGGGAAGGAGGATGACGCGGGGGTCGTCGGGGTACTGGACTCCCCCCAGGATGTGTGTGAGTAAACTTCAATCGCGGAGAAGTGGGTGGTAGACCCATTAACCAACGGGACGGACTTGACGATTGTCTAAACCTGTAATTTAAATACGATACGTTAATTCTGATACATTAATACTATTATACATTTACAAGTACATTTAGCAACCATGCGGCCCCACAGTACCCAACAGTACAGCTTCATTACAATGGATACACACTTATAGAACACGATAACAGCATCATGCTTAGATTTCGAAACCAGTGTACTTGAGAAAAATTGTAACGGAAATTGAGGATATGTGGCGTAATAACTTTACTTTAAATAAAGGTGTATCATAAGATAATAAGAATGATTAAGCAGAACATGGAAGACGAGTTGAGAAGACACTGACTGTTGTTGAAACAAAATCATATGATTTATTCAAGGTTATCGAGGGCGGGCGTGGCCACTTTCGACGTATTATCTGACCACGTCCACTGTTGTTTGTTTCATAATCATCAAAACACGATTTCGTATACCCTTGTGCATCCTTGAGAAATCAAGTAACCGTGTTCCAACTATACAACTAACACCATTTAAACACATAATCGGATATAAATCTAATTCCACGGACTGACCTAGTCGTGATTGTCTTATCGCGATTGTTAATCCTGGCTGCATGGAAATAAAAACAGAATGTTAAGTTGCATCTTAAAGTTTAGTGTTACTAAATGTACCAGCGTATCGCCGTGTCGCAAATGATGGCTACCTGCTCGGTATAGCTGTGGGCGGGCCCTCTAGTCAATCCCGCCCACCCGTCGAATCTTTGTCACTGCCCCTGCTCTCGTTACTATGCATACGTTGGTAGTTTGGTGGCTGTCGAATGTTCGTGTTACCCGGTGTGTTCGGTTGGGTTACGTCTTTAGGTGCCATACTTCTTGGAATTCCACCGGACATTTCTGATCTGACTGGTATTTCACCGCGCATAAACCTGCAAAACAATGACGTTTTAAAAAACAATTATCAAATCAAACTCAATATATATATATACATATACATATACTGTACTGTACAGACAGGATTCAGTTTATTGTATTTAAGTATTCACCTTTCAAGCTTGTCTACGCAGGCGTCCTGGTAGTCGTGAATCCAACGTACACCGTTAAAGTGGCAAACCGCCCTCATGTCTTCAGGAAGTTCCTCAGGTTCTGGCCATTGGAAGTTGTCTATGATGGGAATTATATTACACTGTGACTGAAGAGCTGCTACAATTTCCTGTAAACACGATCAACATTGTATAGAAGACCAGTTTATCCAACACGAACGGATACATAATCACGTGAACAATAGGTAAGACGCTCACCCTATGGACCCAATCTTTGCACTCAGTATCCTGTGTACACCTTTCCAAAGCCTTGGGCGTCAGCACAAGGAGGAAGTGTTTCGCCTGTCTGATACTCTGCAGCAAGTTGTTGTCGAACTTGCCGGCTTCTAGCCTCTCGACATCGATGAACACAGAGAAGCCTCTCAACTGCAAATGTACTTTCAGTAAGCTGGCCAACTGAGAGCCATTCGATCTCCTATAGCTAACGAACACGTCCAACGATTTGTCTGGCGACTCGTTCTCGCACGAGCCCAGCTGATTGTGTTGCATATTCTTGATCGCATCTAGTATCCTCAACCGGTGTATACTGTTCGCGATCCCGCACTCGGTCAGCAATTGATCCTCGGACAGATTCCTGATCGAATCCTTGTCAACGCCAGCGTTGAGCATACTGTAAGTGTAAATAGAAAATTCCTGTCCGATCGACTGTAAGAAACTGTTCAGATTCCCGGTGTCTCTGCTACTGTAATCGGCCATTTTCTTCAGGTTCTGTAACTCCCTGGTGAACCGTCTTCTCCTGATCCCGTTCGTAAGTCCTATGTCCTCCTTGAGATTCTCCTCCGTTAATTGGAGCAGAAGATCACCGTCTACTCTGCTCTCAACGAAGTTCTGCGCGCACTCGGCGAAACCGATCTGTTTCACCCATTCCCGGACGTCCTCGGTGGACCATAGTGGCACCTGTTGGCTGAGCTTGTGAGGTATCTCCTCTCCGATCAAACGCAGCGCCTGCGCCGCGTACTTGGAGGCAATAGCATTCGGACAGCTGGCGACTTTCTTCAACGGTTCTATAGCACCTATTGCTCGGAAGATCTCTGTATTGCCCTGCTGTTTTTTTATCCCAGCCTCCATGCAGAAGTGGAAAGCAGCTAAATTCCTGGCTTCCTCCCTTTTCGAGCTCAATACCGGCACAAGCCTCTCCAGCCAGTTCTTACTCTGGCCGTGCGCGTGTGCTAGATTGGACTTGGCGAACTCGTACGGATTGTGCGACGTAACGAAAGGTTCCACAAGGTCCAGGGTACCGGACTTCAGTACCGCTGCCTCGATCTCTTTGTTGGCAACCAGCACGGCTATCGCCAGACAGGCATAGTACTTGATATTGTCGTCGTTATGAAAGGCCAACGGGAACAACCACATGGGGACCTTTCTCTTGATCATCGCCTCTTGGTTTTCAGCGCCACCGTACAAAGAGAGATTAGCTAACGCACCTGCGCAGTGTCTCAAGGTCTCCACATCGTTCTTCCTGCATTCGAATAACACCGCGTCTAGTCCACCCAATCTGATCACGTCGCTACAGGTACCTTCGCTGTGCTTGAACAGATGCTCCAATATACCCGTTCCAACCCTCGAATGATCCACCGAGTTCGCGTTCTTGGTGCAAACGCAGGCGACGTTCACCACCTTCTCTAAACCGTTTTCCACAACGTGAGCTCTGTTCTCGGTGGTCAAACATTGCTCTAACAGTCTCGCCGATGAGAACTGTAGTTCCTGATCGCTGGCCACGCAATTCGACATCAGTAGATCCAGACCGCCCCTCGTTCTCAGAGTGTTACAAAGGGTGTAGCCTAACTCGTGGCCGTGTGTGGGCACCGCCCATGCTTTTCGTATGATCTCGTTCACCCGGTTCAGAAGCAACGGAGCCTTGCCATTTTTCCCGTCGTTGCTTTTCAATCGTTCCACGAAACTGTCCAGAAAGCTGCAATACTTGGCGATCGCACGATCCACGTCCTGAGGATTCGACTTCGAGCAGAGAAGATCCAGATCGTCCAGAGGCAGCGAGAGGAGATCGTCCTCGCCTGGCCTCATTCCGTTCATCAGTTGATTCACCGCATTCGCCGCGGTGATCATCGAGGACTTCGATGTCACTCCTTTCGAGGCTATCGTGATGCTGGACTGCGAGCTGGACGCCATGTGTTTCTCGTGGTTGAAGATCCCGGTCGAGGTGACCGTCTGTCGTTGTTGCTGGGCCGCCATCGCTTTCTGAAAGAGGACGAAAGTTAGAGACGATTAGAGCATCGAATCGTGATTGTTAGTTATTAATATTAACATGGCTGATTAGGGGTTTCACTCCACTACGATCCCTCTAAACGTTTTAGCTACTCTGCACCCTGGTGGTGTATAGGATTTTTCGAAAATATGTACCGGTCGTAATAGAAACGTGGAAGAGCTCTTGGCAAGGAACAGGGGAAACAACACATCCACAGGCTCGAATAGCAACTGGGGAGAATTATCACGGTCTGTCTCACGTACGGTTCCCGTCGTTCAATGTAAAAATTATTTCTGTATCGCCCACGTAACACACATGAAAAACATTCCTATCGTTTCGAAGCTTCTGGTAATTTCAGATAGAAATATATTTTTATACTCCGCCCGACGATGCGAGATAACCGATTGTTTGTTCAAATCCTGGTACTGCCTTGTTCTTAGTTTTCTTTTACCACGATTAATGGACATCGACGAGCAAAACGGGGACCGGTACCATTCTAGAATCGAGGCTCCACTTCCTCATCGTCATCGTTTCTGGACGTATTTCCCGGACAACCGAGGGATGCCCACCTCGAGAAAGCTCGAAACACAGACTGAACGCGACTGGCTAGCTGGCCGGTGTTTAAATCCGTGGATCCCACTTATCTCGACGGTTTCGAGATCGTTCTCACGGGCTCGCGTAAAATGGCGCGAATCGTGGCGTGTACGTCACGAGCCAAACGGCCAGACACCGCTATCAAACCGAAGATTTGTGGCCCGTCGCCCCGGGAAACAGATTCCCGTTGGGGGCGGGCCAACAGGCATGGGAGAGCTTAACCAACAACTGTGGCCATCGACGATTCTCGGAAAATGTTTTTCACCTCTGATGAAAATCCTCGAGAAACGTCGGAACTATCCAATCAGAAGAGAACTTCCGTTTGGAGTTTCGATAATTTTCCTCGGGTGATATCGTCAGAGTTTATTTATAACTCAAGCAAACGAAACATTTTGGAACTCATGATTGTATTTAAATTTTCATCGATTCTCACGTCTGTATGGAAGTATGAATTCTTAAGGAATCTTTTCTCTTTCTATTTTTCTACAAGACTGATCATACTGAAGGGTCTAAGTCGCACAATAACGCATGGGACAAATGGTTAATAATAAGTTGAGAGCTTTTTTTTTTTGGAAAATAAAAGAAATCTGTTTTTGACCATTGGAGCTGTTGAATTTCGATTCTAGGCCACTGTTGCGTTGAAATAATTAGAAAAGCTTGATCCGTCTCACCTTCTCAGAACTGAAGGAGTCGCTTTGCAGTTTCATGGTGGACGCCGCCATATTGTTGCTCTCCTGGTGCGACAGATCGCCTGCCTTCAGGCTTCGCTGTTCCTGCAAAAGAAAATAACCGACCGAAAATGAGCATACATTTATTCGCATTTTTACGAGATCGCGCACGGCCGTTAAGCGATCGTAATTGTTTCTCGTACGACCGAACCGTAATGATAATGTATGGAAATGAAAGTTCAAGGGTGTCTCTACCGTAAGTTTGCTCGAGTGTCGTCGTGTCGGTGGACTTTGATGGGCGCGAGGCGGTCAATTTGAATTTTTAAAACGACGCTCTAAGGACGTGGAAATTCGAGAAGGTGCCGACGGTGTTGTTTCGAGGAAGGTAATGTTTGAGAAATACTTCCCGGAAGTGGAATTCGCGAATGTTTTCGCGGAAAAAGTCATCGAGAGCCATTAAAGTAGCCAGGAAAATCGTTCGATACGTAATGGAAAGTTTTTTTCCTTTTTTCTGTCGAACGATACTAATACGTCCCAAAGATTCACAAGCTTTCGATGGACCACAAGGGAATACAAAGTTTAATATTCATCACGCGTTGCAGGGAATTAGCACGCATTCGAAGGTCCCACTCATGGCTGGCTAGCTAACGACGCTAATTCGCGCAAGTCTCGCGATAGAATCGCGACGCAGCTCACAATCGTTGCACTGTCCCTCTTCCATGCACAATTTTATCGACACGACATGCCCGCTAACTACGTGAAAATACCAATTAATCGTAACACTTGTATCGTACCGTTCATTCAGCTGCTCATTAATCCTCGTTCGGCTCGATCGTCGTGGAACGAAACTGCGCAAATCAAGAAATCATCGTTCACAGCATTCAAGGGCACGCTTGTCACAGAAGGATCGACCGGTTGAGTCGCTAATTGAGAAGAAAAATCGATGGAAGAAATCGCCGAACGAAATCTTCCGACCGAATCGAACTTGAAAAAGAGAGATCGATAATTCGGAATGGATCGATAATCGCTGGAACGGATCACAAGAAGGGAATTGCCTTGATAAGGCGGGAAAAAGCCCAGAAGAGAAACCAACAATTTCAAAAAAGGGTTCGATTGACAATTCATCAGTTGGCAGAGATTAATGAAAAGTTTCACAATACCGAAGAAATGGGTTGTTAAAATTCTTTAATTCAGATTCCCCGGAGGAGGATGTAATCACTTTCGATGTTGCGTGTGTATTATGTGCCCAGCGTTACGAGAGAAACACGCGTGGTAGCCGGCGTGAAAAGCCTCGTTGCGCGCGAACACGACTTTCCGCGACAGAGCTGCTTAACAGTACTGGCCTGTCGAAAGCTCATCGGCCGAGGCTCGACCTCTTCGGTCGGCTTCTGACGTATTTCTCTAAATATAATCCGAGCGTATCGTCACGAGAGAGACGACGGGGCTCCCTGTCGTCGCCAGTCACACACTGTAATGTACATACACGCGTTTCCCTTCAACCCGGCGGCCACCTTGCGATCGAAAACAACACACACACAACACGCGCGCTTCTCCCTCTATTTACTGGCCTTCAAGCTTGGCGGCGTTGTCGTCGGTCACCGTGTTATCGGTAGAACGGACTTTAGAGCGCGATTTCGTTGGGGGAAAAAAACACCTCCGGTTGCAAGCGCGAAGATAGTTGCAATGGCAGTAAAATAACGACTGTTGTCACTGAAATGATTGACAGTAGTTGGGGGGATATGTTGGGTGGGTATTTCGCCCCATTCTTTCATCCTTCGGAAAAACATCTCGTCGGAGGACGGGTCAGTTTCATTGGTGTACGCCCACAAGCAATTTCGGCTTTCACTAGGAGAAAAAGTAACGTATTAGGGAAAACGCCTCCTACCACTTGGTATTCGAAATTATTGAAATTCATACCAAATTAACATTCGAGTTAACATTTATTTTAGTACTTGAAATCAATTTATCAAATGGTAGGAGGCCCTTCTCTTACGCCACTTTTTGAAATGGAATTACACGGAGAATTTTTCGTTGCGATCTCGAAAAATCGCGTCGAGATATTTATAGCCTATGACTAGTTTTTGGAGACTTTCATAGAAAGAACACGCTCGACAGGTACTATCCGCGCATGCCTCAACTCATTAGACGGTGTTCAGTGGGTTTGGACCGAGGAATTGTGGTTTTCTTCTCGGAGAAATCGGCTCGCAGTATTTTCGAGATACAGCGACCACAATGGGTAAACAAATTCCACGGGATTATATGTGTATTCGTCGTCATTCGGCTTTCAGATATTACGACGAACGTTCGCGTCAGCTGATGCTCCCCTCCCGAATATCGTAGCTGAAATGAAAATAAATGATAGGTTGCGCGTCTGACTGGCCATCGAGCATGAATGACTACGTCGAACCCAGGCCCCCGTCGTTCTTTATAAACGATTCAATCTGGATGTTCGCTCGTTGGATATGAGATAACCGTCTTCTTAAACACATCGTAAACGAAAGCAAAAGCCGAACAAGAGTGAACCGCATCGAATATTTCATCGTCCGAGCGCCAACTGTGCGTAGACTGGAAAAATAATTCCTGCCTTTCCGTCGGCTGCGATTCGTTTATTTATCGAACGGAAAGATACTTTTCCTTCTCCCCCGAGGTTTAATAAAAGCACGCCCCGCAGGAAGATTTCCAGGTAAAATCAAGTATATACCCTCTGTATCATTTGAACGATGCACTCGCACGAGAGAACGCGTGTTCTCGGGCGCGTAATCTACCGTACGACCGTCAATAGTAACCGAACAACGCGCGCGCGGGAAGAAGCGTACGCACCCTAACCTAAAAATTCTCACAAGGGAAGGCACGGAAGTGTCCCTCTCCGATTTTGATGAAACTTCGTATGTCTGTTTAGCAGTCAAAAATAACGGATACATATTTTTTTTTATCGACCGAAACGCGACTTCAAGGGATGAAACCACCCCTCGAAGTTTCGATCCCAAATTTTTTTGTTATAAATAAATTATATTTTGGCCAATTTGTTAGAACCATATTATTCTACATAAAAAAACGCAAACCTTGTCCATTAGAAGTTTTCATGTATCTCCTCTGGTTTTCGAGATAGTACTTTCGGGTCGCAACTTCAAGAGGCGGTTTCACCCCTTAAAGTCGCGTCGCAACCGATAACAAAAAATACGTATCCCTTATTTTTGACTGCGTAACAGACATACGAAGTTTCATCAAAATCGGAGGGGGACACTTCCGTGCCTTCCCTTGTCAATGAAAACTTACCACGTGACCGCGATCGAACATCTTTCGCTGTATCACGCCGCGATGCACTGGCCACGGTGCACTCATCTCTACGAGATCGCATATCACGGATGACACACAACGAGATTTTCGTTTCTACCCTCGCGAATCGAGAGTGGTATCGATTTGACTCAACGAATTCTTCCTACGAGGATCGATATTATCGAATTCGTAAACAATTTCTTCGATTAGTTCGAATTGTTTCTCGATGTAAACGGAGAGAGAAATTTCCGCGTGCGTCTGCGTATCGATAAGAGGCGGCGTGCTCCGCGAACGATCGAGTCTCGAGACGGCGAGATATATCGATGTATCGTTTGGTTCGAGACGACGCGACGCGCACTCGACACAGGTCCAGGGGCCGCGTTCGAATGCGTTTCGCGAGCGATGCACAGGTTAAATTCGTTCCGGCCAGCGAAACGTCAGGGTGCAAACGGGGGTGGGGGAGGACCACACGTGATGGATTGTAGACGAAATTCCGTGGACGGGCGACGTTCTGTTTCTATTTTTCCACCGGGCAGAAATAGCGGTAGCATCATACATCGCCGATTCGCCGGCCGTTTTCATGGATTGTCGCCGTTACGAGGTGTCCGCATACTTGCGCGGTCGGCCATTACGTAATCGGCGGGCTTCGTCACGGTGGCAGGATGTGGCCAAGATGAGGAACACCTTTACACGACGGGAGTTTTAATGTTTAGAGGTCGAAATTAAAGCCGGATCACAGACGCACAGGTTCATACGTTGATACGTGGAATCGATCGGTGATCTAGCGAAGCTAACGAATCAAATAAAATGAATGAAATAAAATGAATGAAATAAAATGAATGAAATCAACTGGTGAAACAGTTGAAGAACGCGCCTCTCAAGTGGAATAGCCCGTTCGAGTCAGACGTATTTCACGCGTATTTCGTTGGTATTTTCAACAATTAATAACTGGGAAACAAAGCCTTGAACATAATTTCGTCTTGATTTTACATGCAGAATCCACCCTGTAAGAGTGTCCGATATTTTTATTAACATCCTGTATGTATATGATCCACGGTCGGTTATTCGCAAATGTTATTTTTGTAGTAACTGCAAAACCTATTTAAAATCTCATGTTTTGCAACCAAATGAATACAGTGTTGTATTTAGTAGAAATTTACGTTACATCAAATAAGCATGAAATTGGCAAAGACCCGTTCCCGTTATCTCGACTATGAATACGATAAGGGTGTCAAATGCTTCGGTTGTGTTCTATAAATAAAGTTGTTTTCAGTCGGACAAGTGACAATTAAAGAAGCGAGATCGAGGAAATGACATTCTGAGTATCTTATCGGTATCGCTGCGTACTCCTTCCTCTTTAATTAGAAAGTATGATTTCCACGATTTTAATATTACGAGAAATCGTCGGTAGAAATCGTAGTTAAAGAAAACAAACATTATCACTTTTTATCGATAATCATTTCCATATATCGTATTTTCGAAAATTTCAACAGAACAATGGAATTCTTGAAACGATTCTAGAATTCTCTTTGGGCTATAATATCAATAAACGGTGATTAATAAATTCTAGATCAAATATATTTTTCTTTTATCAGAATATCTGTCATCTAATATCCAAGATGATTCTCATGGCAAACGTGGAGTTCTCTCGTCGTAGTGATTTTATAGGGACACCTTGAGGACCTTGAACATGTCCTTGACAAAGCTCCCGACTGTGGAGAAGCGGGAGTGGTGTATCTGGCAGTCAACACGAGAAACATTCACGGTCGAGAGAGCTCTATTTCGGTGTTCCGGGATGGTATCGGTGACACCTATTCCCCCTCCGTTGG